AGTAGTACAAAACTATATGTTGTTCATTAGTATAATGAACAACATATAGTTTTCTAATGGACACTCAACACATTCTCGACCATTTTCATTTAAAACCATAATGAAAAAATTATGGTAATGGATAACAATGCACAACTTTGTATAAATAATACCTAGATAGTACCTAGACTTTATGAATTTAACTGCATTACTAACTTTATGAATTTAACTGCATTACTAAATTGGCAACAACGTCTCATCATTTTAATATTACAGTTTTATTGGTTATTCATGTAATGGAATAACCTGTCAACCCCATGAGTGACTACATTATAGGTAGTAATTACCTATAAGTATCTGTAAGTCAACAGACTACAGAGCCTAGTTGCAATCTGTTCCAGGTAAACAGTTGAACTCTCTGCCTTTGGGTAGAGAGGAACCCAGACGAGTCTCGTTCAGGGAGGTAGACTGCCCCTGAACCAGTTTATACAGGTTTAAAAAGGGAATATTTTTGGCTGAGCCTACGGGCTTGGAGAACCCACGTTAAACCAGCTTTGTGCCACATGCAACCCTTGTGGTGAGGTAACTAAATATACTAGCTGGGATCTGCTGAGTACAACTCAGACTTACATGAGGTCTACCAACCTTCCAATAGTAGCACTCACTACGGGATTGACTTACGACGACCTTGTGCATAACTGTTACCTTTATTCTTATTGCATTAGTTTTCACAATAAACCTTTACTTATTTTATCCACTGTGTTTTTCAAGTATATATTCCTATTAGCACAGAATATAACAGTTATATATAATGTAACTGTAAATTCTATGCTAACAATTTCTTTTCTTGTACTTCTTGCTTGTGGAACTCTCTTCTGGCTTTTTGTATGTCAGCCAAATTTGATTTTCAAAAATTTAAGTGCAATGTAAATTGTTATCTTCTGTCTTCTTCATTCCTCTTCTTTTATTGTTCTACCTTCTTATTAATATTTTTCATTTTCCTATTCTTTTACACTCAGTAACCCCCTACATCTTAGTAGCTTTGTTGCCTTGCTTGGGGTGAAATGATTAAAACAAAATGTTTCTTATTGATAGCATCAAGTTCCCTGTCTGAGTACAGTGTTGCTTTATATTTAATGAAGTAAATATTTACCTGTTTTTGGTTTTTAGTCTTTTTGACCACCTTTTACTAGAAATAACACCTGATTAGAGAAGAAAAAGATGATATGCAAATGTCAAGAACAAATAGAAAAGCCATTCCCTTAAAATGAAACATGAAAAGCATAAGAAAAACATATCCAAGAAGGAAATAGAAAAGTCCACACTGCAAGATTTATTTGCAGGAAAAAAGTGTTAATTTTCTTCTCAGGGATGCGGTTTAAATAATACACAACATCACTGGAAAGGTGAGAAAAGTGAAGTAATTGCATACATGAACTTGTTGGGCAGATGCATTATTCAGGCCCATGTGGATTTATTTACCCTGCCAAAAATACAGAACCACCTGTTATATGGGTTACTAAGAATGGAATTATCCATGTAAATGGCATTGCTGAGACATTCAATAAATTTTCCCTTATTTCTTTTCTACTCATCATTATTATATGAAAAAGAAAAATTGAGAGAACTTTCTTTTTGCATTTGATACCTGTAGAATGGCTGTAGAATGGATCAACCAAAATATGGTAACAATAAAAGTAATGAGTTCCATAATTCAAACAACTCTTGGAATAATAACAACTCTTTTTGGAAATTATAGTAGATAGACAAACAAAGGAGTGCTGAAACATTCTTGGTTCAACCCACTTCCAAAAATCAGTATTTATTGACCATATATCAAAATACTATTTTTGGTAATTGGTTGGGCTTAGAACTTTTCAAAACTTCTTTATAGAATAGATCAGCCAAAGTATAACAATGAAAGAATGAGTTCAATTGGCTGAACAACTCTTGGAATGATAATGACTCTTCCCCAACGTATTGAAGTTATTTGTGAAGATTGATTAGAAGTAAGTACCATGTCTTTATTTAGTGTGAAAATTTCCTTTAAGTGGCGTTAAAATGTGCATTAACAATTATGACATAAGCAAAGTGAGTTGGGTTTTTATCTAAGTCAACAGGGTAGGTAAAGTCTTCTTTGCATGAAAAGGTTTTAAAATGTCAGGAAATATAAAATTTTGTTTTTTTGCTTGAAGCTTTATTATAAAATGCATTTCTTATATAAACTTCATATTGGCAATATATTAAAAAATCAAGGTATTTATCGCACTTACTTAATTTTTCACCGTAGAATTGGTATATGGTTGTACAAAATGCCATAATTTCTGTTAAACAAGTTTTCTATTTACTTATAAAGAAAAATAAACACTTGATTTTCATTTTAAGAGTGACCTAAAGTACATACTTGGCCTGCCCCACCTTGTGTAAAGAAATGAGCTGAGATTAGTATCTCATGTGGAATTGATTAATGACAAAAGTTGGATTGGGTTAGGGTTGGGATTGTCTTCAAATAATCATTGGTTTCTAGGCTATTATTTATTTAAACTTTGAAGTGAAAATGCTTATGAATAAGCTAAGGTTCCACTCACCCTTTTACTTTTCTCTGAAACTGCTTACACTTTGTGATTTCTCCTGTTATTCTCTTTAATTTCTTTCATCTTTTGCCTTATATATTGTTTATACTTGCTCTTCACATGTTCTGATTATTCATCTTTGCTCTCCTTTTTTTCTACCTCCGCAATACACAACCCTATTATTCTCTTTTTTCATTCCTTATTTTCTGTTCATTCTTACTTTTTTTTTTCTCTATCTTTTCATTTTCCTTCAATTCTTTTGTCCAAGTCTCTTCATCATCTCTTTTTCTCTCTTCTCTTCATTTAATTTTTTTCTTTCTCCATCTTCTTTTCATTTCTTTCATTCTTTCCTTAAAATTACCTTGTTTTTTTACTTTCTGTTCTTCTTCCACCTCTCTCATACCCTTCTTCTTTCTCTTATACTATTTTATTCCTCTCTACTATTTCCATTATCCTATACTCACTCTCTCTCCCTCTCTCTCTCTCTCCCTCTATCTGTATTTTCATTCCATTTTTTTTTTCTTTTACTCTTCTCTTAAAATCTGATTCTCAACTCTCTCTCTAAATTCTGCTTGAAAACTAGTGCACTAGGCAATCCATCCAGAATGGCTTAAAAAAACTCTTATCACCCTCAAAATATGATGTGTTATATTATCAGTGCCAGAGATATAACAAAGTTATGACTTTAGAATTATAAAAGCTTCTAGAATGCATAGAAAACTAATAACTTGCTCAATAAAGAAAAAGATAACCCCTCAACCATGATACATTATTGTATCCAAATCTGAAACACAAATAACCTGAAAATCAGTAAAACTTGCAAAACAAATATGAAATAATAAGTTCAGCCACATATTTCATAAATCTTAGACAAATCTAATTGTTCAATTTCTGTTTCCTAACATTGCAAAAACAGCACATTGTAGCAAGATTTTTATTAGGGCAATACTGTTTAAATATGCAAACTGGAAGAATAAAATAACTTTCAGTTCAATTTTCAATTTATTATTAAGTGTTGGTTCTTCATTTGTGTTCATTTGATGATAATGATCCAATTCTTATTTGTATCAGCAGAGGAGAATATAAAACCCCATTAAAATGGAAAAAGAAAAAAAATGAAAAGATTATTAATTGCTGCATGAAGTAATATTGCCTATAAAAAATAAAATGATACCTTTATTTTGTAATAAAAAAGGATTTTTTTATGTATTTTTACATACAAATATTGTTTTACAAAATAAACATAATTATTTTACAGGATTCATTATTTTATACAAAAGTTATTCTTTTCTCATGTCATTCATTATTACTAAACATTTATTTCATTTATTATTACAAAATTATTTTCTAAATTGTATGTTCAAAAACCATTTAACATAAAACTCCTGCTGATTAAGAATAAGTTGAAGTACAAGTTAACTGTGAATTTTAAATGGAGTTGAGGTTTAGTTAATTAGAGATTAATTAGATTATTATTATTTATTTAAAAATAATTATAATATGAACTTTATAAACAGGAAGTAATTTAAACAAATAAATGAAGGCAAATATTCTATAACAAAATAGTCATTTATAACAAAGTATATTTTCTCAACATCTATGATACCATCAAACTTTCTCACATTTTAACACAACCTCATAAAAATATAAAAAATAATTTACTAAAAGTAATATTATAACAAACAAGTCTAAACTTTTTATAACAATCTTAACCATAGGGTAATTGTATTAAAAAAAATCAGGGTATCAGCAGACAAAACTTGAACCCTGAGACCTCCCAGTTTGCTCTCCTTTGAATAAATTTCATTATTTCAGAATTGCCTGTTTGACAGAATAAATCAACAGTGAAGAGCAGCAAACAGCTAGTACAAAGTTACTTGTAAACAACCTTGCCTGAGAAAGGCGGGCTTGGAGAATCTGATACTCACAGGGTGAATAGAGGGAAAGAGAGACAAAGGAAAGCAATACATGACATACTTAGCGGGCTTAAGCAAGTGGATGACAGAACAGGGTTTGGGAGAAGTAGCAAAAGAACAAAACATATAAGGGATAGGAGGAAGTGGAGAGCCATGATCACTTACATCCTGAAGGGACACAACACATAAAAGAAGAAAGAAAGAAAATCACTCTTCCTCTTATAAACCAATAGTTGGGTTACTGGGATGAGTAACACCTAAGCACCCCTATTTGACACACTGGTTCCTTCATAACTAGTGAATCAAATATATAGGATTATATTTAAGATTTTCACGCACCTTTTTTAAATATGACATAGCTAAAGTCTAAATTCTTTACTCAGCAGATCCCAGCTAGTCTCCATGATCCATTAACTTACAGATACTTATAGGTAGTTACTACCTATAGTGTAATCACTCTTGGGAGTGACAGGTTATTCCATTACATCATATATATATATATATATATATATATATATATATATATATATGTTTAGATAGATAGATAGATAGATAGATAGATAGATAGATAGATAGATACATACATACATACTGTGTATTTATTTAGGTGTGTATATATATATATATATATATATATACTGCATATATAAATAAACCAATAGTTGGGTTACTGACATGAGTAACACCTAAGCAACCCTCTTTGACACACTGGTTCCTTCATAACTATTGAATCAAATATATAGGATTATATTTAAGATTTTCATACACCTTTTTTAAATATGACATAGCTAAAGTCTAAATTCTTTACTGTTTAAAAACTAAATGGAGTTTATATATATATATATATATATATATATATATAGTTTTAAGGTATGCTATAGTTACAAGTTAAAGCTCAATATTATGGATAGAGCATATGTAAATATAAAAGTAGCTATTGAGGTCAACACCTAGTAGTGACAGTCTGTTTTATGCTTAAACACAATCAAATTGATGTCTCTACTATAATAACGTTTGAAGTAATAAACATATAATGATGGCTTGATGATTACATTTGACCATGAAAACAGACTGTCACCACTGGGTGTTGACTTCAATGTCCACTTATATATAAAATTCAAATATTATTATAGTATGTATTTTGTATTTGAAATAGATGCCCCGTTTTTATTTACTAAATTGTATGTATTATGTCTATCAGCTTGTGCATTTGAAAAAATCCTAGTAAAAAAAATGTGTTCTCTGGCAGGGATTAAACCATCACTCATTGTAGAGGAAAACCAGCATTTGATCCATCATGCCTTGCAACTCATCTATGATGAATGTCACAGTAAGCAAGGCTCTATTTTTCCTTTTTAAAGAAAGCACATTTTCAATCTTTGCTGGAAAACACATTTTACTAGGATTTCTCGTATTTCAATTTTCAAATTTTTGAAATCTCCACCATTATAACGTTTGAAGTAATAAAAATATATACATATTATTATGAAGAAATAAAATCTATCAAAATAAATTTGAAAGTCATTGTAACAATTTCATTATCAATATACTTGTCTTTCTTTATCTAATCATTATTTTTGTTTGTTTGTTTTTCATCATCATTGATGAGGCTTTCTCATTGTCTTCTCCCTGCTACATATCAAGAATTCTTTTTACAATCTCAGTCCTGTTCTTTTCCACAGGTATTACAGTCATCGATAGTGGATTACTAGAAGCGTGTACGTACAATTTGTTAGCCAAATTTTGTTAATCATGTTATCCACATGCTATTTGTATGCATGATAAATGACAGCAATATATAACAATTTGATTGATGGATCAATTTAATTTCAGTGATCAGAAATCCAATTGGTTCAATCATACCAAAATGCTTGCTTTTGGTGCTAAGCATTCAGCATCTAAAAGATGTCTGCTCTTGTCTTAATATTTTAATCAAATGATTATAGAAAGCATGAAAATATCATTGTTAATTTCACTACTAAAGAAATCAATACATGTAATTAATATATATGTATTATATAACACACCTTGCACCAGATTAATGGTTTGCCAATTTGGAGATCTTCTATGATATATAAAAAGAGTTGATTGGAATATAGGGTAAAATAATTTTTAAGTGCTTACTGCTTGATAATCTAAGTCAGTGAAACTATAGTAGTGAGTAAGCAGTTATTTTACATCTTAAATCATATTTTATCTTGCTCTGATCTTCATTGAGCACTTTTTGTTACTGTAGCTGCTTTTCTGAATAATACAACCTACTTCTACCAGTTGTAACACATGTGTTTACACATATTGTGTAGTGTTTACACATTTATTATTTGTATTTATATAAATTGATTATTTTGCATGTTCATGGACAAATAAGGTGTTTGTGTTTATTTATAAAATTAAGAAAGAATAAGTTTCACCAAAAATGGCCAACCAGAGAATTTTTAGAAAATAATATTTTTTAGGCAAGCAGTCTTTGTAATTAAGATGCTGAGAGGTAGAGCATTGACAAGAAAAATAAATAAAGAGTTTTCTTCTGAAATTCAGTCATCAGGAGAAAAAACCCTTTTGTCTCCTGGTGAGAGGATTTCAAAATCAGCAAAACTCCAAGTAGAGATAAGCAAACATTAAATTTATTATATATGTTCTGAATATGAATAACATTTCTGATGATGCTGGATAATTAGCAAAATATGTTTGCCAAATTTTCTTACATATTTACCCTTCCCTTGGATTGTTATTCAACTTTATTCACATATATACTGTGTATATTTTTATGCAAAGTGGTATTGGAAAGTTGTCAGATTTTATATGTTATGATTTTACTGTTCAATGAAAATGTGCATGTTGCTAATGGTAATTGGTATGAAGCCTACCATATCAGTCCGCCAATTGTCTTTATGATGCCTACTTGTGTTCAATAATTATGCAAAGTTTTGTAATACTGTCTTTATGATGTGTCTATATTTCTGAGATGAGGTATTATGTACATTATTTACATTATTCGGACTATTGTCCTCATCTTTGTTGCCATATTTATTACAACGTTTCAGCCGTTATACACTCAGTCCTTCTTCAGGTGGTTGGAATGTTGAACTGAACCCTTTATTTCACTCACTGGGGTAGACTGTTCTAGTTCCACATGCCATGTTTAATAACACAAGGACACATGGTAGAGTGGATGAAGGTGTTAGTTAGATCCAGTGACAGGACCCAAAGAGTGTGAGTTCAATAGCCGGCTAAGGCAGTGGAGAATTTTCAGAGGGAAATTAACAGGAGATAACTGATAACTGACATCCATTAAACATGGCATGTGGAACTAGAATGGAGCATACAACGGGCAAAACGTTGTGATAAATATGGCGACAAAAATGAGGACAATAGTCTGAATAATGTAAGTAATGTATTTATGATGACTAACAAATTGGAACAATGTACCTGCATGATATTTTTGCATGTAGCTCAACAAATCATTACCAAGACATTCAAAATGCTTCATCAGGCTATTTGGCAAACAAATTTCACAAGTGTTTCAAGGTTGGTCAGTTGCTGGTTCCGGTTAATAAGTGTTCAAGGTGATCAAACGCCAGCAAAATACAATAAAATGTGAAGTTTTCCTAAACTCATCCAAATTTCTAATACCACCTGATGTGTAAGAGAGGTGCTGAAAAATTCTTGACCTATCCAAGAGGATTTTCCAACAAAATGTTTGTTTGGTCATTTGGTAGATCAGTCGGAGAACTTTTCTATACCTCCTAATATAATAGATAAATATTAAGCATAGCCTGTGAGTATGTGTGCATTTTTCTTATTAATTGAGATGTAAAAAATTAAAAAAAGCCTTGTTGTCATGTAATAAAACCTGCAAAACGAAACTGCACATGTGCATTGTGCACTATAAGCATGCATAAGCAAATATGGATCAGACAAAGAGTTTATTATCATCAATGAAGAAGTTTGCCAGAAGAGACAAAAGCCAACTCTTTGTTTCTTACTCTAGGCAATATGTGCAAAAAAAAAAGAAAAAAAAAAGAATTGAAAGAGCATGTAGAAACCAAATTGCATGGTCCAGTCAAAGCACAATGGACAGCATTTTCCAATTTCTGACATTTCTCCATCTACAACAGGTGGATTTCAATTGTTAAGTTCCATATTGAAGAATTTGGTAATTTGATTTTTATTTTCTTTTTACAGAACCCTTGATGCATGAAAAAAAGCATTTTATGCATTTTGACTTTGAAGTTCAAATGTAATCAATGTGTACATGTGCACCACTCTATATATATATATATATATATATATATATATATATATATATATATATATATATATATATGCATATACATGCTACACACACCTCAGTATTTTCATATATGGAAATGCAATGCAGTGGTCTGAGAAAAGGCTAATATAAATAAAATATAATAAAATACATACACACCCACCCACGTTGACTCTCTTTAGCATAGATTGTCACACACACATATATGTGTGTGTGTATCTATCATATACATATATGATAACAGTGCATCTTTTCTGTAATATTTTCATGAATAACTTTCTCAACTAAGCTGGGATTTATAACAAAACTTCACTTAAAATCAGTTTATCTTTTCTCATGTTCTTTTTCTAAGATCATAAATCCCCCACCTCTGCACCCAAATAAAATTGTATTTTTGTTGGTGATGCTTTGAGTATGCAAGAAGAAATTTTGCCAAAGATTGTTATTCAGGCATTGCTAAATATATCTCTGAATTCCACATAACTGAAAATGTACTGGTTGCACTGTTACATTTTTGAAAAATTCTGTTGCATTTTGATACATGCATAATTTTTCTATTTAATTCAGGATAGAAGGATTATCTCTTTGGTAGGTTCTCTTAGCTAAAGGCATTCTGTATTTTTTTATATATAAGAAATCCCACCTGAAGAAACTAAATGCAACATTTTTTTATATCTCTAATCTAAAATGCATATAATGGCATGTTTGTGAGCTCACACACTCACACACACACACATATATATACACATACACACTGTGTATTTAGGCATATATATTTTTATATTCTGTGCTAATAGAAATATATACTTGAAAAACACAGTGGATAAAATAAGTAAAGGTTTATTGTAAAATCCAGTACAATAAGAATAAAGGTAACAGTTATGCACAAGGTCATTGCAAGTCAATCCAGTAGTGGGTGCTATTATTGGAAGGTCGGTAGTTCTCGTGTAAGTTTTAGTCATACTCAGCAGATCCCAGCTAGTCTCTATGGTCCATTAACTTACAGATACTTATAGGTAGTTACTACCTATAGTGTAGTCACTCTTGGGAGTGACAGGTTATTACATTACATCATATAATATATATATATATATATATAGATAGATAGATAGATAGATAGATAGATAGATAGATACTGTGTATTTAGGCATGTGTATATATATATATATATATATATATATATATACTGCGTATTTAAGCATGTGTGTATATATATATATATATATACATACACATACACACACACACACAGAGGTTGCGATGGATAAATTGTCTAAATTTCACAAAAATGAAAATAACACTGACATCTCATTTTAACAGATATATGTATCAAAACTATACAAAAATTTCTTGAAATAATAAAGAGTAAATCTATTCAATAAAATCACCATTGGCTTCAACCATGGCCTTGAGAATCTCCTGCAACTTTTCTGGATGGTTTCCTTGCTTAAGTTAGTGAATGCCATCATAATGCTTGCTATCAGTTCATCTTTGGTGTTTTGTTGGTCTCTTGCTCAACTGCACCCCACACATAATAATCAAGATGGTAGCAGTCTGAGCAGATGCCCAAATGTAAGGGGTGATGTGGTTGTAGAATTTGTCTGACAACCATGACTAGGTTCTCTTGCTTGTTTAGCATGGTGCAGAGTCCTGTTGCCAGACATAGGATCTTGCAGAAGCCACTCTCTTAACCCAGAGCAGCAAAACCTCCTCAAGGCACTTGATGTAGTCCTCTATATTGTCTGAGGCCCTGTGGGAAGATGAATGGAGGCATAGTCACTATCACTAGTGATCACTCCAAACACCCTCATAATCACCATTAGACTCATCGAACTCTTTTCGGTTACTCTGCACTGTCCTCAGATTGACACCCAAACACTCTGAAATGTTCATATTGGAGCTTCTGATGTGAATACGAAGCAGTACAGCATGGCATTTCCAAATTCCTGGCAGAGTGAATTGCATCTTGGTTGTCTTTTTCTTACAGACGGTGTCCAACTGATACTACTATTCTGTGCACTTAACAAAATCAAATTCAAACAAAGTGCATGAGCAAAATTAAAACTATTAAATAGCAACAATTTACCCATCGCACCCTGTATATATACTGTGTATTCAGGCACATTTATATATATATATATATATATATATATATACCCTATATTTAAAGAATAACACATTTATTATTAAAAGAGAAAATATCTTATTTAGATGGAAAGTTCTAGAGAGTGCGGCTATCATATCTTGCTAAAATGTTAACCTGTGCCCTGGATTTCTTTCAAATATCTCCTTTCCTCAAAGTAATACTTCTTTCCCTTTTTACAATAAATAACTACATAAATTATTTATCAAATTATAATAAAATAATAATAACATTAAGGAATAAAAAAAAAAAAAAGTAAATAAATATAGATCAACAAATAAGAAAATAAAAAAGTCAACAACAATAACAACATTTACTTACTTTCATTTATTAGGCATTAAATTACATCGCTAAGCATCTTCCATATTTTACCTTAACTTTCACAGTTAGACTTACAAATATCTATGAGTTGTTCTTAATCTAAAACTTTTTTTTAAAACAAACCATATTTTTACTTCTGTTTTTAAATACATGTAAAATAAAATCTTTACTTGTTAAAGTACAGTGTAACCCGGATATAAGAGAGTTGTTGGGACCGGAGAAGAAGTCTCTTATATCCGGGTTTCTCTTATATCCGGGTCTCTTATATCCGGGTTACACTGTATATCAGAGGACAAAATGTGTCAGTAATAAAGTTTTCCTTTTGTCTTTATTCACATCCTTACATCTAAATATATATAAACATACACAAGTAGATATTTAGATATACAGATAAATTTTAATAGATTCAAGCACAAATACTTATAGACATAGATATGAATATTCAAAAGTATTATTATCACACAATGTCTCTCTTACATATGTGAACAGGTGATGTCTGTGCAGATTCTTGTGTATTTCTGTTTTTAAATATAGAATAGCAGTTTGCATTTTTCACATTTTCACAACACAAAATAATTAGACTGAACATCAAATAGATAAAAGTAGATAGGTAAAGATTATCAAACTGAGATTTGACTGAGAGATAATTACCAACTTAGGAGATTGAAAAAAGACAGAGTAGAGTGAATAATATTTATTTAAAAATCCGCGGTTCATCTTAAGGTCCTCAACAAAATCCAGAGATGGATATGCAATGTGGCATCTCATTTACAGTCACTCTCTCACAGACATGCCATTATTTCCCTCTTTCACTGGTACTCCAAACTGCATGAATTTAAGCATGCTACTAGGTCGGCATCTCAGTCCCACCCTTTCAATGTTGAAATGGTTAAATGGTTAGCTGTCTCTTCTACTCCAATAGCTTCATGTCTCGCACTTCCAGTTTGTGGATCTCCCTTCCTCTTACTTGATTCCTTGATAGCTATAATCTCCAACTATTCAAATGCAATCAACATATCCAGATCCCTTGATCTATTCCCTGTTCTTCTCTTCATCCTTTCCTCTTGCACACCTCTTTACTCTTGCTCCCACTCTCTGTAATCGCTTGCTTGGGGTGAAAAGCTTAAGAAAAAAAAGTATGTTATAACATCGCTACAAAAATAACCATTTTGTTTGAACACTTCTGGTGTCTTGTCAAGTGATGATGTTGCAAGTAAAATAAAGAGTTTTTAAAGAATTCAAAAACCAACCACTACCCCCACTCTGGTAAATATTTTTATGTAAGATGTAATGGCCAATCAAATTACAAGTATATGATAATTCAAATAACTCAACAACGGACACTAGATACTAATCAGAAGATACATATGAAATAAAAGATTGTTAAAAACTGAATGAGATAGAGAGAAATACTCTGAATGAGACAGAAAGATAGAGAGGGACCCACTGAATGAGAGAGAAAGATAGAGAGGGAGCCACTGAATGAGAGAGAAAAAAAGGGACTGAATGAGAGAAACACTGAATGAGACATTCTGAATGAGAGAGAGATAGGGAGAAAATTATGAATGAAACAGATGGATAGAGAGAGACACTTTGAATGAGACAGAGAGAGAGAGGAACAATCTGAACAGACCAGAAACAAAGAGGAGACTGAATGAGACAGAGAGAGAGGGACACTCTGAATGAGATAGACATAGAGAGGGACACTCTGAATGAGATAGACAGAGAGAGAGAGGAGACCCTGAATGAGGCAGAGAGAAAGGGACACTCTGATTGAGACAGAGAGGGAGAGAGGGGCACTTTGAATGAGGCAGATAGATAAAGATAGTGAATGAGAGATAGATATACACTGTATGAGATAGAAAGTGACATCGTATGAAAGAGATAGAGCAAGACACACACTAAATGAAATAGATGCTGTAAATGAGAGAGAGAAAGCAATGTTCTAAATGAGAGATATAGATAGAGACACTGAATGAGAGAGAAAGAGAGAGTGACAGATGCTCTGAATAAGATATATAGAGAAAGGTATATCTGAATCAGAGAGAGAGAGAGAGAACTTTGAATGAAATGGAGACTTTCCAAATGAGCAGAGAAATAGACCTCTGAATGAAATGGAGATCCTCTAAACGAGATAGAGAGAGATACTCTGATAGAGAAACAGAGACTGAATGAAAAAATTATATACTAATAAACTTCGTTCTTATTTTATGTTCCACGTCCCTGAAGTCCATGTCCCTTCATGGCTCTCCACTTCCTCCTATTCTTTGTAGCTTTCAATAGGTTTTGGCCCTTTGCTACTTCTCCCAGACCCTGTTCTGTCATCCATTTGCTTAAGCCCACCAGGTATGTCATGCATTGCTTTTCCTTGTCTCTCTTTCCCTCTATTCACCCTGTGAGTATCAGATTCTCCAAGCCTTCCTTTCTCATTACGTGTCCCAGTAATTTCAGCTGCCTCTTCCTGATATTAAGTATAAGCTTCCTCCTTGTTTTCATCCTCTAGAAAACCTCATCGTTGCTCACACATTCAGTCCATGCTATCCTTAGCATCCTTCTGTAGAACCATACCTCTGTTGCCTCAAGTCTCTTCTTCATCTTTGAGGAGACCATCCAACATTTGCTGCCATAAAGGAAGACAGAGGTCACATAGCAGTTCAGTACTCTTTTCTTTGTTACCAACAAAATCCTCCTCTAAACTAGGTAGATACAAACTCAGATAGATATCTAGAAAAGTAATTACATAGACATACCTCAACAGACTGAGATAAATAGTAACAGACTTTGATACTAACAGACTGTGATAGATTATTAACAGTATTAGGAAAATAAATTCCCAGATTTCCAACATCTGCCTTCATCATTTAGTTGATTGGATATATTAGATTTTCAAATCTTCAAGTCACAATTTTGATTGCTACAACAGACTTAAAATATTCCAAGACTGAGAAATCAAAATCTGAAACTAGTTTTTTAAGTTCTTTTTTTATTGCCTGGTTCATTGCCAATTTTATTGTCTTTGTAAAACAAATATATTTTTCTACAATGATGGATGATTCATAATATTGGTTACTGTGGTGTGTAACGCAACAATTCAACTGATGATAGCAGGTAGGCACAAAGAAAACCGGTGTCGCACGTCCAACCTTCTCATGAGCTGAAAGCCCTCTGATCTGAAACAGCAAAAACGAGCCTGCTTTATACAGCCACTGACCGACCACGATTTGCATGCGAATGACGAGACAACGAGATTTCAACTAACCAAGACCGCCCGGCATAAAACGTGGGCGCCGCCATTTTGGTTTTCTTTTACAGTTGGAAGAACCAGAGTTTGCATACTGCGCAGATTCGAACGCGTTTCCGAGATAAGCCATTTTCACAATTTTCCCCACAGTTACAAAGTAGACACAGGTGCACAACCAAAATTCTTTTCCAAGCTCCCGTGATTCAAGGCTTGTGCCAAATTTTCTATTTCACCAGACCAACAGAGGTCACAATAATATAAACAGTATGACTTTTTCAGTTTGTTTGTCTATAACAGTACAATCACCCATCATTGGCAATATTTAGCAACCTGGTCTCACTGCTAGTAAGAAATGAAAAAATATATTATCTTAGCACAATGCTCAGTGCCACTCAAAACAAATGAGGATTGTGCTGAAATAACAACATAATTTTAAAATTTATAAAATTAAAAAAAGAAATGATAAAATCTCATTATCTTAACACAAATCACACTTGGTGTCACTTCAAGTAAGTACATCTTGTATTATCATAGCAACATGTAAGTGTTATTTAGTTTCCTTTCTAAAAAAGATTCATATAAAACTTCAATATAACCATTAGTTTTTCAATATGAATAACAATTCGATTATAAACACATCGTTTATCACATTTGTTGCACAACCATTCACCCCTGCATGAAATACTGCTGCCATATATGGTCTGGTGCTTCCACTGTTCATCTTAAGGTCCTTGACAAAATCCAGAGATGGATATGCAATGTGATTGGCCCTGATCTGGCATCTTATCTACAGTTGCTCTCTCACAGACGTGTCATTACCTCCCTCTGTCTTTTCTCCAAATACTTTCACAGTAATTGCTCCAACAAGCTACTTTCACTAGTTCCCAAACTGCATGAATTTAAATGTGCAACTAGGCTGGCATCACGGTCCCACCCTTTCAATGTCGAAATGTATAAATGTGGCCGTCTCTTCTACTCCAATAGCTTCATATCTCACACCTCTTGTCTGTGGAATTCCCTTCCTATTACTTGTTTCCCTGATAGCTATAATTTCCAACTGTTCAAATGTAATGTCAATCGACATTTCCAGATGCCTTGATCTAATTCCTTGTCCTTCTCTTCATCCTTTCCTTTATCACGCCTCTTTACTCTCACTCCCACTCTCTGTAACCCCTTGCATGCTAGTGGCATCCTGCCTTGCTTGGGGTGAAATGCTTAAAAAAACATTGATGAACATTCATCATAAATCAAACATTATACAATGAAAATTTCAGAACAAAAGTCATTTAATATCTCCATGTCAAGCTGCAAACTTTTTAATGCTTTCATGTAGTCTGCAACACACTAATTCTACAATTGCATCTTTTAGTTAACAACTTACAGTTTATAACTGCAATATCTGTAATTTTCTCTTTAATAAGAACAAGAACAAAAAAAATGTGTAAATTCACTTCCATCATATTTAGGTTTTATTACAGTTCTAATCATCACTTTTTAAAACAATAACATTGCCAAAGAGTGAAGGTAATTAAAATCATAGCAGTGTCCAAGGAAAAAAAACATCCTTTTAACACTTCAGGGTTTTTTGTGGGCACAAAGGTCCAAGTTTACTGAAAAATATTTAGTTTCAAATGTTTCCTGTTTTCAGAATTTAAAATAAGAGATTGCGTATTTTTATGACTTTGTATCAAATTCTGTATAATTTTGGAAAACCTCCTTCACTGGCTTAGCATTCCATGGTAAGCTTTTATATCTTTGATTTTGATTGGCTGGATCTGATGAATGAGGAATAAAAATAGTCACCAGCATCAAAATATCTAAATTTTCTTTTATCTGGTTAAGAAAACTGAATTCTTGACAGACAGGGAAATTTTATAATCAGTTACTCTTGGATAGATTATGAGAAGAATTTGCCTTATCCTTGGTTAAAAAAAAAAAAGAAAACTAGCTCCATTCTTAAGAGGTAATGAGGAGATAAGTGCTTATTTACTTATCCTAGAACATTTCCTCTTGCTCAAAGATAAGCAACAACTTGTGATTTCCTTTTGATTTTGTTTATTCTTCCCCCATATTTTGCTTAACTTGATCCCTATCTCAATACGAAAAAGATTGGGTATGCTTAACTTCTAACAAGCTGTCTTCTGTCTAAACATGAAGAATTAAACAATGTTTCTCTTTCTGTTACTAACAATGGTGTAGTCTCATGATACACTTTGTTGCAAGAGATTAGCAGTGAAAGCAGCAACTTTAGACAGTTTAAGACGAGATAAGCATAACTCTTGCTTGATTTTCTGTTAGTTCAAATTCTTGTAACCAAATGAAGTCAATATCAAAAGATTTTTTCTTGATATTAATCAACTCATGTGGCATGCATTTTATATGTTACATAATTTTACCTGTAAATATCCAAAAAAGAATTATTAACAAGGATCAAAGGTTAAAGACTGAAGCAAGTTGAAATACAAAGATAGATCAAATACAAAAAAATATCTTAATAAGTTCAACTAGTTCAAAAGTAACAAAGCAGGTTTTCTGATTTATATATATATATTAGTAATAATCTACTGAACCTGCAGTACCAGTTTTCTAGTACAATACTCCAACATCTAATCACCAAAAAACAATTACACAGCCTAACATATAAGTAGAATAAGGCTGTTTATATATGAACAACTTTGTACTAGCCATTTGCTGCTTTTCATTGCTGATTGTTTTCTATTATGCCGACAGTTCTGAAATCCTGAAATTTATTAAAAATATTCAGTTCTCAAGAATAGACTGCCACCATGAATCTATTTTTAAAGCCAAATTTAACAGATGTAGTTTCTCAAAATATGTTATTTAAAAATCTATTACTTTAAAAATAAAAAATTATTCAAGGGAGTTCTGAAAAAGTAATTAGTGTGACTCACTTTCAAAAATCTGATCAAATGACTAAGCATCAGACTTTATTTTCTTGGAGGGGCTTCTTAGTTGGGCTGATAACTTTTAGTAGTGTTCTCACCATGTGTGTATGTGCATAATTGCTGAAACCTCCTGATGAAGGGATTGAATGATTGCAAAAAGGTTTAACTTGTGATATCACTGAGCATTTATTCAATTAATATTTCAAAATTTTCATTCACTTTAAGGATTACATTGGTTATTGAGAGAAAATTCCAACAGAAAAGGCAAATGAAAAGGCAAATGAAAAGGCAAATGAAAATGAAACAAAACGTAGTTGCATTTTGTCCCCAACTGTATTTGAACTCAGCCTTTAATTTTTTAATTTTTATTTCTCATTATGACACAATGATTTCACTGCTACTTATCTAATGTTAGTCATTATCAGTACTAAGGACCTACATAAGTATTTCTCATAATCATTGAAGATTAAGCACTAATTTTTTTTTTTTTTTTTGGTGGGGGAGGGGTCTGAAATTTATTTTAGTCAGTTTCAGCACTCAATCACTATTGTAGAAGAAAAAAATGTTGGTCAGCACTGAGGCCAGTATTTCTAACAAAATTGGGTTATCTGTCTCTTTCTTATGTGAATGTATCCAGACACATACATAGGGGTGGTGGGGGGGGTTCTGAAAATTTCTCAGGCTTTTTAAAAATAATTTGGATGTTTCGTCATGTGTTCAGATTTTGGGAAGTGGATCCAATCAAGAATTTTTAAGCACCTAACTTAATATATATATATATATATATATATATATATATATATATAATATTTGGGCAGCAATCCCTCTTTTATATAAATATCATTAAAAACAACAGACATGGTACTGCAGTTAAGTTTTTCATTTAATTTTTCTTGTATTCCTATCCTATAATTTTCTTTTCTGGACATAAATTATGTAGAAATTATCAAAATGTTTTATATGTCGGCTATTATCCTTGATAATATCTTTGATAATGACTAAAAGTATAGCCAAAAGTGCTCAGACATACAAAACATTTTATAAGAAAATTATAAGAACACAAAGGAAAATTAAATAAAAAAACCTAATCGCAGTACCTTGTCAGTCGTTTTGATGAAACCTATGTTTATATGTATATATGTATTTATGTATGTATGCATATATATATATATATATATATATATTTAAACACAAATTTCATATATATATATATATATATATATATATATATATGCATATAACGTCATCCACAGACAGACTGTTTTGCTGTTTCACAGCTCATCAGTGTGGCTAGACATCCGGTTGCCTCTAGCTAGGATCGAAACCCGACTGAATTTGTGTCATTCGGAGATTCTAACCATTAAGCCGTCGGCGCATGGTAGGGATGAAAGTGGATTTTTAGCGTATTTATTTTTAGAAACACGCCCAGTGACCGACAGTGACTCAATTCGCATCTGCGAAGAGTCTCGCTATATAGCTATAATAGTCACTGTTTACCAACCCACACCTCGTCCCCAGAGAGCTCAACTGAAATTGATATTTCAGGAGCCAATATAACGTCATCCACAGACAGACTGTTTTCGGCTGTTTCACAGCTCATCAGTGTGGCTAGACATCCGTTGCCTCTAGCTAGGATCGAAACCGACTGAATTGGTGTCAGTCGGAGATTCTAACCATTAAGCCGTCGGTGCACGGTAGGGATGAAAGTGGATTT